AGTCTTGTGTCTTCGCTCCTTTTGTTACACCTTCCCTCTTCTCACGCTTTGCAATTACATTTACAATTACGTTCGTTTCCGAACTGGAATCCTCGGGCTCGCTCTGTTTGATGTTGTTTTGAAATTTCGTAAATTATTTGAAACGAAAACGCGAAATGATGGAACGCCCGGTGACAAACGAAGGATCGACGACGTCACGAGATAATTATATTTGAACATTTTACAATAGTCAGCGCGACGTATGATCGTATCAAGCGTCAGTTAGCTCGAAAATGGGACACTCGGATTCGCGTTTCGTACGCGGAGCCTGGAAAATCTGTTGATGACACTCGACACGCGGAAAAAGTGTGGATGACAAGCGTGTGCTAGTTGCACGAAACGATGTATATATATATACATATATATTGTGCACAAGTGGAGGATATAAGCAAACGTTCATCCGCTTAATGCTTTTTTCAACACTTTCTGAAATTACGCGGATCACACGATCTCCTCGCTTCCGATCCAACGATCCTTTCCACCGTGATTTATATCTGGGAATTTAAAATGCAATGCTGCATCGAATTAAGCAAGAAATAGCAGATTGTTAATAGAATTATTAAACTTATCAGTAGCAATTATTATTAAATTATAATATTAAAATTATTATTATAATTATTACATAATTTATTATATTATTATTTATATATTATATTATTATATAATATATATTATATTATTATAATTATAATATTAAAATTACTACTGTAATTATTGTATAATTATTATATTATTATAACTATAATATTGAAATTATCATTAAATTACAATATTAAATTTAAAAGGTGTTACAGTTGGACGAATAATAATCAATAAGCCTGGTGATGATCAACTTGAGAGTAGATTAATATGTTGTATTAATCATTCGATACGTTATATTACAAACTCAACATATTATATTAATATATTGACTTTAATCTTGATCGATATTACATCATATTAATATTATCTCAATATTAATGTAATAATATTAATAATAATAATATAGTAGTATCACCATGTTATTAATATTATATTATACTAATTATATTAATATAATAATATATTATAATACTCAAGATATATTAGATATTAGTTACATTATATATATATATATATATATATATATATATATATATATATATATATATAATGTATATGTATTAATATATCATATAATATGGTTCTAGAATTTTTTTTTTTTTGCACATCACTAAAATTTATTATACAATTTGCATCCGTAACGTCTCGTTTCACGAATCTTCGTTTACATTTGAATTGAAGCTGAAGCGCGATTCTTTCTCGCATTTCGACGTCTGTATTCCTGGATGATTCGATCCACTTGGATAAATTTGTCTTGCGTGTGACGTTATTTGCCTTCGGAACAGCCGGTTTACGAGCGGAAGGGTGTTTGTATAGTTAAGTGTCTCCGCGGAGCATGTACGATGTTATGGCGAGATTGGTACAATGTTAATCTTGCCATAGCATCTTGTAAATTAATAGGAGCCACACTGATGACAACACATTTAATTACACGCTTAATTGCGTAATGTACACGTAATAACTTTATTCTAAAATTGGCACGGCCATTATTTTTGAATTTTTTACAAATTCTACTAATATAGGTTGTGAGGACTATACCTATAAATATTTGGATGAAATTGTTTCATTTTAGCTTACAGTCCACGTGTTTGATATTATTTATTGCGGAGAATATTGTGTTATTGTATTTAATAATTTATTGTAATTTATTATATTATTCATCGCCAGCCAGTGATTCAAATACATCGATATCGATAGAAATTCAAGCGGAATATTGGAAGTAAAGTTTTCAAATTCGAAACAAATCATCAAGAAGTAATAAATCAACAGTGAAACAGATTAATAATGTAACAGTCGACGAGAATTAATTCTGTAACTTCGCGCTCGGTGTCTAAGTAGTAGAAATCAGTATCTAAGAGTACACTGGTTTATTCGTTTCCTTTTGCGCTTTATAAAACACCGAACTATAGGGAAACCCTACTGAAACCAGACAATAAAATACAATAAGATAGAGTTACGAGCCATCGGCGGAGGGAACTATCGGTAAAATAAGTAGAACAGGGTTATACGTGGCCGGACAAGTAAAATAGAACTCTAGCGAATGTTCCAAGTAGAACAGAACAGTAAATAAACTCATTCTACCATCCCGTAGCATGCAGTAAACCAAATACAGGTAACAACACACTATTCTTTGAAAGTAGGAAAAACATTATATGTGGCGAATCAATCAATAGAGAATTTTATTTAAGTTGATTAACACTATTGACTGCCACGATGGAACATTTAATTTTTATAAAATATCACGCATTTCATTTGATGTCGTTTAAAATTTCAAATCCAATTATTCATTTTAGTCAGTTGTTTTTAAAATTAAAATTCAAATCGTCATTATATTATGTATAATATTTTCTACTAGGAATTTTATTGTTTTATGGAAAACTTTAATCACTCCAGTTATTTGTTCCACGTGAGCGTGTATTTAATTAGTCAAGCTGGATCGTTTGAAAATCATATTTATAAAATGTAGCAGGCAACGTGTTAAAGCGAAACTAACAGAAGAAGAATTTGCAACGAACGATCGAGCGCGACGTTTGCATTAAACCAAACAAGTGGAATAGACGTAAATATTGTCAGACACAAATATCCAATCAGACAACCGCAGTAGCAGCATGTTTTATCAAACATCCGGTACCTGATTGTGTAAGTAATTGGTGCAAGTGGGTTACATAGCCAGTTAAGTAGTATGGGTCGTTGTGTAGTTAAACAAGTAGAACAGTCCGGCGCTTTGTCAGCCGGGCTATCATAACCATGAACGTAACCATGTTGTACAGGGACACACACGAACGCATGTAATTACGCAATGAATACAGAACGGTTTCTAATTAAGCTGCTACCGTAAGAAAACGTACGCTCGGACATCCGACGAGAGATAATTTTAACCCTCGCGCGTTGAAAGGATCTATTTCGGCGGCGTCATGTTTGTGGCGAAGATAATCAAAGTTCATCGGTGGAATGCGTGTATATAGTTACAGAGATAGTATTTTCCATTTGCAACGTATTACGATGGAATTGCATGACAATTTTATGAAAATTGTCATTATTATAAAATTATTATTTTATATAATGTTTAAAAAAATTACATTAGATTCGAAAATCTTAGTATGAAGTACTATAGCTGTAGCGTCAAAATTAAATGAGACAAAGAATTTGTGAAAGAAATTTATTACTATATTGATGATTGTATTATAAAATACGGATGCAAAATTATTAATATAAAATACAGATTAAAAATTGTATTATCTACAATAAATACTAAATGCGAAAAATAAAAAGTGTCCTGAGACTGAGTGTATATCGTGGAAAATGAAAATCTTTCAATAGAGACGAAGGAATTTCGTGTCTTTTGTGTCTTGATTTATTAGTTTATTAGATTGGGAACGAAATTGGGAATCTTGTAATTTTGTAATTCTTAAAAATCAAAGGTTCTAATTCTGAAGATGTCACGAGCATTTATCATAACTAACATTTATTTTACAAAATTTAATATTTAAGATTAACATTTATTTTACAAAATTTAATATTTAAGATTAACATTTATTTTACAAAATTTAATATTTAAAATTAACATTTATTTTACAAAATTTAATGTTTAAGATTAACATTTATTTTACAAAATTTAATATTTAAAATTAACATTTATCTTACAAAATTTAATATGTTACATTAATTTCGATTTTTAAACATTCAAAAAAGAATTTTCAAATTTCAAATACTATTACCAATATAATTGTAGCTAATAAATCAAAATATAAAATTTCTCTTTTAACAATGAAAATTTTCATTTTCTAGGATATATTATGTAACGTGTCTTGTAAATGTATAGCACCAGTGACTTATAATAAATCGTGGAGTTAACCAATGAAAATTTCACCTTGATCCAACGTGTGTGTCTAGACTAAGTGAAACTAGCTGCTAGTCTGACCTTTCGAGGAATCAATATCCCAACAGTAACGGACATTTTTAGCTCGATCATTATGACGCGGAGCTTGAATGTTTCATCTCGTTTCCGGACAAAATTACGATTCGATAATTGACTCGCGAAACATTCTTCAGCACAGAGTCGCGGCTAAGTTTAGCGAAGATTATTAAAATAGATCAGATTGACCAGAATGAAAGTAGAATGAAATCAAAAGGAGAAATTAAAAGCGAATACATATTTTTATCTTTAATCTAATAATGTAGCGTAGGTATTTTTAATAATTGTTATGAAGGACGTTAGAATGAATCCGTTTATAGTCAGACACTCGCAAGTAGAATGATTTATCATTGATGTATTCCACGCGATGTCGAGTGTTTATAATATAATTTTCGGCTTTATTTCGTCAAATTTCGAATGTACTGTATTCCACTTCTGATTGACAAATCTAATCCAGCCAAACATTAATATATATTTCGACATTAAAAGTCTCTCGAGATCGTACCTTCGCTTTATTCACGTTATTAGCGAAACTTAAACAATTTCTTCTTAATCTTCCTCCTGGAGATCTGAAACTTCTGAATAATACCATACTTAATTTCCTCTGGTTTAACACGAAGCACATTATATTCGACGCTGAATAGAATTTCTTCCATTTACTCGCGTATTTTAATTATTATTCCCAAACCGCGTATTTTCCTGCAATTTTAAAAGCTACCCTGGTGGAATTAATAAAAGACATTTGCTCGTGAGAGTGTCGGCGGTGAAAAAAAAGAAAAAAAGAAAGAAAAGAAAGAAAAGGAGAGGCACGATGGTAAAAGGAAGTTAAAAATGGGTGAATTTATAGTTCGAAATGGTAATGGAATCTGGGCGAAGACATTAGAATTCTAACTTCTTCGTTCCTTTTTTTTCTTTTCTTCTTCTTTTTTTCTTATACATTCTCTTTCTTTTTTCGTTGTTTCAGACAGCTGCTCGGCAACGGCACCCTCTACTTTCCGCCATTTCTGGCGCAGGACTTTCGAGCGGAAGTGCACAACGCTAGGTACAGGTGTCGCGCGACCAGTTCCGTTGGAACCGTGCTTTCCAGGGAGGTTACTCTACGTGCTGGTGAGTTTATTACACTCTACGGTCGAATTTAAAACCGTGTATTTTAAATCATCACTTTCCACGAATATTAAATTCGAACCTGTTAAATTATACCACTACAATTATTTCTACCAATAACAAATAAAGTTATTTATTAATTATTTAATAATATTATAAATATATTTAATTATTAATTATTTGTGTAGAAATTATACTATTATATTTATTAATTATTTAATAATATTATAAATATATTTAATTATTAATTATCTATTTAGAAATAATGTACTGTATATAGTATAATATACTATGTTTAATTATTAATTATCTATGTAGAAATAATATACTAGATATAGTATAATATACTGTATTTAATTATTAATTATTTATGTAGAAATAATATACTGTATATAGTATAATATACTGTATTTAATTATTAATTATTTATGTAGAAATAATATGTTATATATAGTATAATATACTGTATTTAATTATTAATTATTTATGTAGAAATAATATGCTATATATAGTATAATATACTGTATTTAATTATTAATTATTTATGTAGAAATAATATACTATATATAGTATAATATACTATGTTTAATTATTAATTATTTATGTAGAAATAATATACTAGATATAGTATAATATACTATGTTTAATTATTAATTATTTATATAGAAATAATATACTATATATAGTATAATATACTATGTTTAATTATTAACTATTTATGTAGAAATAATGTACTATATATAGTATAATATACTATATTTAATTATTAACTATTTATGTAGAAATAATATACTATAATCCTAATAAAATATACTTTGCAACAAGTATTATTTCGCAAATAGTAAAAAATAAAGCTCTAGCAAAAAACATAGTACAAACACGAACCATGTTATATTTGATAAACATATTAAAGTCGTCGTTTCGCAATAAGCGAAAAATATTTGCTTATTGTTCGAATGATCGTAACGCGCGTTCGTCTATAATTCCATTGTGGTCAATAAATGCAAGCGGAATCGGAAGCATACGTATGTAACAAGAAACAGATATACATGTATGTAACGGCAACAAATAAGGGGCTGCGTGCGAACGAATAATTAAAAGATCCTGCTTGCGTTTGCGTTTTATCCAGCTCTGGCGCGGTAGAGTAGAGTAGAGTAGAGAGTACCGCGTTAATAACATAAAAATAGCGCAAAATATCGCGAAGGGGAAAAAGCGGTTCGCTTTGCCCCCGTGTTTCTGCGCGTACAGACAGAAGTCTCATTATCGTGTCCCAGTGCGGTGCTCATTAATTACTATGCCCTTTTTTTTCCCGATCTCCCGGCATCGGTAGGGAAATATTCACCGGTGCTGCTATGTGTAGAGACCTTGTACGCGTTATACACACGATGAACGTTCAGGGAATAATAATCACGACTTCAATTTGAAATTTATAATTAGAAATTTCTTCTCCCGCTTTTCGATGGATTCGTGATTTATTCTTATGCATATGTATATGCCCGTATATGCATGCATATATATATATATATATATATATGTATATATATATCTTCTTGGATTGGTTTCTTGGAAATGTGAAACAAGGTATTGTTGATGTGGCTATGTGTCCGTGAGAAATTGAAATTGGTTTCTCTGTGTACGTTGTGGAATGTCGTCTATTTTATTTGCCAATTTGTTCGTTTTTATTTTATTTTATTCTGTTTATTTGTCCGTTTGTTTTATAATTTGTTTTCATTCGTCTATTTTCATAAACCAAATCCAGATCTATGAAGAATAGAAAATAATATTTGGACGAAATAGTACGAAGATGTCCGATTCTTCTTACAATCTTCAATGTATTATAGAACAATCTTCTTACAATCTTAAATTTATTAGAGAACAAGCAATGAGTCTAAGAGAAGAGTAACTAAGAAAAAATAGCAATCGATAGTCGAGCACTATCGAACGAAGAATATGAGACAGCAATCGAATAATCGAGCATTGTCAATAAGTAGTAATAATTCAAAAAGAAGAAATTGTATAAGGATACTTTCTTTCATATTAAAAGTAGACAATAATAAATTCAAAACAGGTAACAACAATTTACTCTGTTGTTCTACACTGAGAATGAGACGCAAGGGGATATTAAAAAATATTCTACAGAATACTGCAAAATTAGCATTGTGAAATGATAAATCAAGTGACAATTAAAGACGGTAGAGAACAATGTTATAAAATAGAATGTTACAAGTGAATAACGACTCCGGATAAAGATACATAATAATAACCTAAAATCTAATGTTAATTTATTACTATAAAATATAAAATGGAATCTTAGTGAAACTATATTATTAGTAAACTATAAAACAGAATATTAGTGAATGTTAGTTTATTACTATATAAAATATAAAATAGAATCTTAGTGAAACTATATTATTAGTAAACTATAAAACAGAATGTTAGTGATTGTTAGTTTATTACTATAAAATATAAAATAGAATTTTAGTGAAACTATATTATTACTAAACTATAAAATAGAATATCAGTGAATGTTAGTTTGTTACTACAAAATATAAAATAGAATATTAGTAAAACTATATTATTACTAAACTATAAAATAGAATATTAGTGATTGTTAGTTTATTACTATAAAATATAAAATAGAATCTTAGTGAAATTATATTATTAGTAAACTATAAAATATAAAATAGAATCTTAGTGAAACTATATTATTACTAAACTATAAAATAGAATATTAGTGAATGTTAGTTTGTTACTACAAAATATAAAATAGAATATTAGTAAAACTATATTATTAGTAATATTAGTACTATAATATTAGTACTATAAAATAGAATATTAGTGAATATTAGTTTATTACTATAAAATATAAAATAGAATATTAGTAAAATTATATTATTAGTAAACTATAAAATAGAATATTAGTGAATATTAGTTTATTACTATAAAATATAAAATAGAGTCTTAGTGAAACTATATTATTAGTAAACTATAAAATAGAATATTAGTGAATAATGAATCCAAATTGACGAAATCGAACAAACACGCTCGATCTCATCCCGCATTCTCCGGAGCTTGGAAAACCAAAAAAGAAAACCAAAAAAGAAAAAAAAAGAGAGAAGCGAACGAACGAAAGGGGCACTAAAAGGAAGTCTTTTATCCATCGATACGTTTCCACGGCGCGTTGCGTGAGCACAATAAACGTCAATTACAGTGGAGAACGTCGCCTTTGGAACGTGACTGGCCGCGGAAACGACGGAAAGTTGCTGAAGATCCCATTATGCCGGAAACGCGGGCCGCGTTTTCACCGAGCTTCGGGGGCCGACGCCGCTCGAGTAAATACCAGAAGGGAAAACGCCATCGTTGAAAGCCGTTAAATTGTATCGTGAAGGGGAGGAAGTGGAGGAAGTTCGATTCGAACAAACGGCCAGACACAGACGACGCGCGACAGGAGAAAGGAGAAAGAAGAGGAAAAGGAGAAAGCGCGAGGAGAGGGGGAAAACGTCTGGGGAAACGACGTCAGGAGAGAACATGGGACAAAAGTTGGTCCTGTACCACGAGCTTTACGTGAGCCATCGTTTAAATGGCTGATTTTATGCCGACCTAACGCGTACAGCATCGCTACGTGCTTTCGCCTCGCTCTTCTCCGCACCGAAATTAGAGAGAAGAGAATTCCCGAATCCTTCCATTTCACGTCGATCCGGCTCGCCTCGTTGCTTTTTTAACGGCGCGCTGTTTTACTTTCGCTCTTTTGTAGATCGTTTTTTCTAGGTGGAGTCCTGTTCGATCACGAGGAGGGCGGATGTTCGAAGTTTCTTGTTTTCGGACAATGGAATTTGAATATCAAATCGTATCGAGAATTTCTTCGGTTTTCTATGTTTCCCTTTTTTTTTTTTTTTGAAGGCCAAAGGTTTAGGATAGTTATTTTAGAATTTTAAAATTTATTTAGAATTTACATTTATTTTAGAATTTATTTGGAATATATTTGGAATTTAAATTGATTTAAAATTAAATTTATTTAGAATTTAAATTTATCTTAGAATCTTTCGAAAGTAAGATTTAGTTCAATTTCAGGGGTTACACTGTGATATTTTAACCTCTTGCGCTGGAATGACGTGTCACGCATGTCGAGAATTTTTTGTCCCAAATTGCAACATTTCTCAATTTTAGGTGTAATGTAATGTAATGTAATATAATGTAAGTATAATTTTAGGTATAATGTATTTAAATATAACCCAGGCAAAACAAATGATAAGTTTATTGCTTCTTAATAATTTCTATCCAGTGACATTATACCGACGAGTTCCAAAGGAAAAGAAAACGACAAATTATTGTATACGATTCGGTCACTCGTTATGGTCTGCGAACCAGTCGCCAGCGCAATGGGTTAACCTCGTTCTCCCTTGGTTATTTTCTGACGTCGCGTCAGAATGAACTCCAGATCTTAAGCTCACATTTTTAAAATCAAATCACGATAGTTCAAGTGAAACAATTATTTTACTGAAAGCGAAACAATATATTTCACTGGAGGGTGGATAGAGAACTACATTCGAGATGAAATAAATACGAGCGAACTGAAAAACCGCTTCAAACAATCGGCGGCTTACTATCGATCTCGTCTCGTCTTGAACACGTGACACGTAAACATACGCGAATACGCGAAGTTTAACAGTAAATGGCGTGCAAGCCAGAAGCAGAACCTCAATCATGCTACGTCGCTTCCAAGAAGCAATGAACTTCAACGTCAACTTTTTATCGTGTCATCCGCGTAATACGTGATCGACGAAACGCTCGACTTTCGAGCTTATTTTCATCGGTTCAAGTTAAATCGGCCACGCGACGAGGCGGACGCCTCAGCGACGGTGGTGAATTCGTCGAAGTTCTCGAGACGGTGGCGTTAGGACGGGCGAGCGTGTATCGATTGGCCGGTTTTTCGTCCGGGCGGAAGTTCGTAAGTCGCAGCCGTCAGCGGTTCAACAGAAAATTCTTCCTTCTACTTTTCGTCG